AACGCATTCTGATTGGCTAAATAGTATTTATATATACCCCAAATTTGGCGCATTTGATGTGAAGTGACTTGGTGCACCATATAAACTTTAATATAAAAAAGCTAAAAAATAATAGTCAGACTCAATATTCAGAGCAAACTTTAGCAACTTACATAGCTATAAGAGCCAGGCATACAGTGAGCGCTTTTGCAGAAGACTCTTCTCTTTTCTCAACCTTCAATTTACCTCCTTTGTTGAAGAAAAATGCTTTAATAAATTTCTTAACAAACACGATCTCTTTCTCCTTTCAACTTCACAAATACTTAAATTATTCTTACAACACTTATTTAAAAATTTTTTTTTTCAACCCTATAAGATATTTGTTAATATTATTACTCTTAAAATACATATTTACTTTAGCATTTTTGATAGCATCCTCCCTGGTCATATTCTCTTCACCCTTTAACAATATTCTATTTATCACAAATCTTCTATCTGATTTTCTTATACTAACCACCTTAATCTTACTATTGCAACTTATAATATTAGAGGCTTTAATATTGCTTCTAAAAGACAAATATAACAAGATTACTATATTAATCACAATATCTCCTATTACTGCAATTACCAAAACCAAAAAAATCTTATACAAAACTAAACTCTTCCTTTGTAACAACAATCTCTATACATATTACTAATCCAATTCTAAAAGTTTAGCTAAAAGAACTACTATCATGATTCAAAATTATCTCAAATCTCATGTTTATTCCAATATTCAAAATTAAAACTCTCTCTACCAATTATAATTATAAATTGCTGGATTACACCAATATTAGGCAAATTGTCGAATACAGTAATTTGACAAATGATTGGCTACATGTACCGCAAAGCAGCATATACTTATTTGCCAAATTACTATTATTTAACAATTTTTGCCCAATATTAATATTTTGTATTGTATACTAATTTACACTAAATATAGAATCTTAGCAAAAATGTGAGATTAAAGTATTTGTAAAATTTACTATCCAAGTAATTACTTATTAATTTATATATTAAATATTATTCAATTTCATGAATATTTCATTTTTTTATTAACATAATTGGTGACAATAAAAAAATATATATAGTCGCATTTTCCTAAGTGCACACCTCTTGGGATCATAGTAAAAAAAAATTCAAAATGTGCACTTAGAGGAGGTGTGCACTTAGGGAGATTAAATTTTATAATTGTTATATGAGTTGGGACCAAGCAGGGCATGCATATTATAGGAGTTTTTCATATACCATGCACTTAGAGAATATGCACTTAGGGGGTCTGACTGTAATTAATTTACATATCAAAAATAATCTATTAAGTATTAATAGTACTTACTACTATATTAATACGCAGGGGTGTGATTTTATATTTTGGCCCAAAATTAGACTTAATTCAGGCTATTATTCTAAATAATTATATATTATAAAATTCACCTATAGTGTTTAGCACCATATATAATTGTTTATAATTTAAATTTAAATTAAAAATCTTGATTTTAAAAATTGTAATCAAAGCATATGACTACAAAATCAAATCTAGATTATTGTTAACATTAGGATCAAATTAGAGTACTGGTATAAATTTATTTTATTAATTTTTTGAAAAAGTCTTTCTGGATTAATGTGAACAAAATTAATAAGATATTTATAACATGATACTAAATTTCTATAATCATGATGAAAGCTTAAAATATTCGACTACCATACTCCAAAATTAAGTACCTGCGAAATTACAGCTGTTTTCATAAATTCTGGGACATTTCAATTGGCATAAGCTATTCTACTGACTGACTGCACTTGCATGGCACATATGATGTACCTCGTTGATCAATAAACTTCAGTGTCCATTTCAAGAAATAGTGAATATAGTAATTACAAAAATTTACTCCATAAAAAAATAAATAAATATATATATTAACATGGTAGGCTAGTTTAAAAAAACTAAACATCATTTATTATATTGTCTTGTAGGCAGAAAACCAACCTAATTTTGAAAATTTTACAAGAACTTTACAAACTGTCATTCAAGAAATTTCACTGATGCCTGATAATATTTTAAATATGAATATTGCACGACAGCTAGCACAAATCAGTATGACTTTTCAAAGTACAGAAGTATGAATAGCACTGTTTTACAGTAACTCTGCAAACCAAGATAACAACTGTTGAGAGCAAAATTTCTGTAATGGAAACCAAGATGTCAACTGTGGAGAGAAGAATTTCTATTATGGAGAGTTCTATGAACAACATGCAAACAGCAATAACAAATATGCATATGTGTCTCCAAAACATGTGATTTTTCTTGCTATATCATGGCTAGGAGACTTAGGTAGCACATCTACAACAATTGTTCTCACTGTAATTTTTATTGAGAATAAAATGTTGTAATTTGGTTAAGGTTAGATAATAGAGTTTCTATTGGTAAAATTTTACAAGGAACATTTTTAAATAGGCGCAGAAGATGGTTTCTTAATTGCAATTTCAAGTTATTCCTGATTTTTTGTAAAAAAAGGATTTCACTTTGATTGTTTACGTTATACTTGATCTTGAAATTTGATTGGTCAAAAATCATGGGAACAATTTTTGTGGGAGCACGATTTTCTGCAATAATATGTAAATAAAAAAGTGATCATTGTAGCAT